AATTTTTATTTGTTTTATTAATATATGAATTTATTTTTATGAAAAAAAGAATACATTTTAGGAGTGTAAAAAAAACGTTAACAGGTGTCTATTTATACGTTTCTATCACGTGTACAACACATGTTTTATGACTTAATGAATTTTTCCAGTTTTACAATTTAAATTCATTGGCATGTTATCAATTCTATTCATAGCTATTAAAATTATTTATCGCATTTAATTTATGCATATTTTAATACCTTTTTCTTTTTTCGGATGAATAATTATCAATATAAAAAAATATACGATCGATAAATACCGTATTTAAAATAAAAACTACATTATATTCTATAGTTTTTAAAAATTAAAAAAAAATTTAAACTAATTAATTATTATCATTTTTAAAATATTTAAATTAAATAAACGAAGATTATTGGATAAAAAATTTAACGGTTTCACACGGTATTTTTATTTTAGTAATTGATTAATAATAAGTCAACGGTCTGTTACGTAATAATGTATACATATGTTACAGTTTCGATGACTTTAATGTGAAAAAAAAATCCTAATTACGCGACCAAAAAATTGCTTATTTTAAAAAAAAATCATTGGAAATTAACGAATAATTAAATAAATAGAATTGTTTCATGATTAAATTAACAAATTAATCAGTTCGATAATTCTTTACTCTTCTATTCTTTCTATCTAATTACTTGAAAATTCGCTGAATAACTAAAATATAATTTATTTAATTTTTTCGGTGGTAGAATTAGTTAGAGAATTAAAATTATTTATTATTTTTATATAAATTTATCTAAAATATATTACTGTAAAGTAGTATTATGAATTTATTTATTTAGCTAGTAATTAGGGATTTTGTAGCCATTGAATGAATTGTTTTTTTTTTCGAATTTTGTTACGAAATAGCATCAGGGTTTGACTTTTTTACGGTATAAAAAAGGAGGAATAATAGTAAAAGAAAATTTAAAAATAAAATAACGATATTACGAAGCACTCTTTTGTATTTATAGATTAATTAATGCGTGTTTCCGGTATTGCTCGGGCTTTTCAGGGGGTGTGGGATTGTGTCGGAAATGAGTGATATAAGGTCAAAGGTCTTAGTAACTAAAATGTACATTTATTGACCTCAGTGTTTGCAATAACGAAACTGAAAACACAAAAAACTGCTCGAGCTAAAATTAAGAGAGTAGACTTTAGGGTTTTCTAGGGTGTAAAAGAATATCTATGCTAAATTTTGTGCGGATATGTTGAACAGTAAGAACATTTATCTAACATACACACACACACTTAAACATATATGGATTTACGTATGTATATTTTTCACAAATAAACATAATGAGAAGTAGTAAAAGAAAGTCGTTAAATGTTTCAACTCTTTATTTAATAAATTAACTTAAAATCATTGAAGATTAAAAATAAATAATAAATCAAATAAACATTCTTCATATACACTTTAGTATATTAAAATTTAATATATTAAAACTTTAAAAATTCTCTTACAAAAATACATTATTATAAAGAGTAATGCCAAGCCGAATGAATAAGTTAAATGTATATAAACTAATTTAAATGTAATTTTTAATAAAAATAATTTAAAAATTAAAAAGTTTTATAAGCTGGAACTGTTATGAAACCATTGTTTAATTAATTCATAAACTGGTATTATGGAATGTAAAGATCATTCGTGGAAGAAGAAATTTGGAAAAAGTCCATCTTACATACATTTAATGATTTAATGTCTCTACAAGATGGTCCTTGAAATTTTTCAGGTGTTTAAATTAATTTGAAACGTTTAAAATGGAACTTTATTAACAATTAATTTTTAATATAATTATTTGTTTGTTTATAATTATAATTAATCCTTGCCGAATGTTTATTTTCCTTAAAAATGACCTAATTAATCCAGTATTTTCAAGGTAAAAAAACGATGATAATTATAGAAAAGATTAGTTGGGTGTGGCGATTAGTACGCAAAAAAAATTTTTATGCATCTTTCACCTGCATCTTTTCTTAACTAAATGCCATTAAACTTATATTTTAATTTTTTTAAAAATTATTTATAAAGTATAGTAATTAATTTTGCTTATTAAGGATATTCAAGAACTTTCTCTTAAACATCTCTCTCACAAGAGAGATACTAGATAATATAAATCCAATAATAAATAATCAATAATTTTAAAGCAAATTTTAAGTATATATATATTTAGAAAAATGACCAGGGTGTGACCAGGAAGAAAGAACAGGCGACATTGACCTGATTTCGAACAGCTTTTTTCTTTGGACATCTTCCGTTCATCATCAGCATCACCTTGATGATTATGTTCAACCTTCTGGATTCATCGCTTTAGAGTCGTTTTACTTGAATTTCTTTATTTAATAACTAGTCCAATGTCATTTGGATGGACTATGAAAAATATATATAAAGGAGTGAGTAGAGGTGCACAGACAAGATCAGTTTTCAACTATCTATCTTCAAGATGAAAGTTCTTGTAAGTAAAATTTAATATAAAAGTTTCTTCCTTTTCAGTTTATACAAGATAAATTTATGTTTTTTTATACTGTAGATCATTCTTCCATTGTTGTTTGTCGCTTGTCTGTCCGCTAATGTGGCCGTAAATCTAGGAGGAGGAGGCTATAACTTCAATTATAACACAGGTGATGCTGGTGGTCACGCCCGATCCGAAGCCGGTAGTGCTGATGGCTCCGTTTCTGGATCATACAGCTACATGGATCCTAATGGTCATTTGAGACAAGTGAACTACAGAGCAGGACCAGGAATCGGTTTCCAAGCCACAGGTGATACAGGTGTCGATAAGAACACCTTAGCTGCTGCAGCTGCCATTGCAGCTCAAGCACCAAAAGCTCCCGCACCCGTTTCACCATGGGGTGCACCTTTCTACGGACATTACGGGGGATGGAATGGTAGATGGTGAGATTCTCATCCAAAAATTTTCAAAAAAATTTTTTTAATTACAATTTTAGCATAATTGCTGTATCGCTTGCTCATTTTGCAAAAAGCCAAAAACAAAATCTATGTTGTGCTATGTATGTTTATCTGCTGAAGCAAAATAAAAATGTATTATTATAATCTAATCACTTTTGAGTCGGTTAATGAAAAGTTCAAAATATTTGCAATAAATTTTATCCACTAACGGAAGTATTCTGTAACCAGAGTTAAAGTTAATGTTAAAACTTTGTGAATGTCATTTTCTTACAAATAAGAAAGAAATTGGCATTCATAAAGTCGAGTAATCCTAACAGATTCAATTAGTTCTTATTTTTTTTTCTTTAAATTTTTATAACAATTCCACAATTGCTTACTTTTCCTTGGCGTGATGTCCTAAGTATTGTTATATTTTGTATTTCCGCCATTTTCTATGCACATGTTTGCTTGCAACCAATCAAGATGCCTCTTACTTAATTAATCTCGGAGGCAGAATTGTTTTAAAATAAAACATTAATAACCCATAAAACTAACCTTATAAAATGAAGGTTAATTTTACTAATAACAGAACACCTCGTGGCATCTAATATGAGAGTGCTGTTTCATTAGAGCGTGTGGCATCCAACACTAATAGATTCGTTTTTTCCTCTATCAATACCAAATGAATAATCACTGTAATTGGCTGCAGATGACACATGATTTTCACGTCACTACTTCTCGCTCCCAGGTCTATGAGAAAGACAGGCCAGGGCGCATAGATATTAGATTGTCATGTGATCAACTTAGTGCTATGGGATGGAAAACGTGTTTGTTTCCGTTTATATACAGTATATAATGTCGGGTCAGCTTTTGAGTTTTCAATTACAGAAATAATACAATATAGATTATTTATTTTTATTAAAATTTTTTACGTTCTGATATATACTTTTTACATGCATTAAAATATCTTACAAGTTAGCAGAGAAAATTAATACGAGAAATGGTTTAGTCACAGAATATTTTGCATAAAATTTTTATATAAGTGATATATTTTTCATATTTTTATGAGTAATATCTTATACAGTCAAACCTCGGGTTACGAACTTAATTCGTTCGGAAACCGATTCGTTCTCAAATTTTCCCATAAGAAACAATCTAAAATGGATCGACTCCTAAACCGAAGCCTTACTTTTTTACCTTTTTAGCTGTATTGCATACATAAAAATGCCTACACATGCAATACAATATTATCTACATCTATTTTATATATTTATTAATTAAAAGCAAAATGTTCTAGGCCAGAGTTTTTATTATTATTTTATCAGTGGCGTGCCGTGACATTTGATGATAGGGAAGCTGTGTTTCTGTAAGAAGCCGACTTACAGGGGCAACCATTTAATTACTCGTCAGGGTCCATTCGTATTCGTTTGTTCGATAAGCCAGTAAAAACAGTAGACTTCTAAATGTATTTTTCATATCGCAATTACATTCTGAATCGATAGCCACGATTTAGAATGTAATTGTGTAGATTTATAACTTAAACCAACTGATAGGAACTTACTGGTATATTTTTATGATAGTTTTGTATAGTTGACAGGAGTTAAAAAAACTTCATTAAAATATTTGATATTTTTATTCTGCTCTCCCATCTTATATTACTTTACGGATCTAAGAGCTACAATTAAAAATAAAATAATAAAAACATACTTGGTAAAATGTGTGATGAATATACAATTATACAAACCTAGTACAAAATATTCAATTGTATGAATATACTTTAAAAAAAATATATAATTAAATATAGCTTTGTACAGAAACGTACATAAAAATAACATAAATATTCTTTACTTTTTAAATCTTAAAACAATCCACCTAGTCAAATAGCTCCCTACGAGTGGCTAATGGATGGAATCAGAGTAGGTTGCACGGCACAAGGGCTGCCAAATCCTGAGGGCACCGATCGGGTCAATGTCAAATGTCTCTTTTGTCGCATCACTAGTATACCTCAAAGGACGCGACAGGGTTGTTGTACATTTTAAACGTTTCTCGCTATATCTATAAAAATCTAAATATGTTAAACTTAATAGATTGTCAGTCATTTGTTTTCTAATTCATTTTAAGACCAGGTGTCCATGGAAATTTCCAAAATTTACAACTTTTCGGTCACTGTCATTGAACTGGAAAAATTACTGTCTTTATTACATCTAATATTACGAATAAATCAGTTCCCATTGTACTCGGCTAGAGATTGATTGGGTTAAGCTTTTGTTTAAGTAAAATTTCGGCTATTTCATCGGGGTTTTGTTTATGTCCCCAATTCCCTAATCGCTTAATTATTTAACTACTTCTTAAATAGAAATAAGTCGAAACCGGTTACTTTGTACTGTACTAAATCCTGAAATTATCTGAAATGTAAACAGCAGCCATTTTTGGAGGCATTAAAATGGCAGAAAAAGTGTGGCCTATAATCGAATGAATTCAATATTTCTCTAATAATTTCTTATAACCACAAATTATCGTAAAAAATTAGCAACAATAGAAAGTTGTGAATAAAACAAACAATATGTCCTACTGTAGTCTTCTCTAAGTTACAGGTTCCAATTCACTGTTTTGTTGTCTAACTTATAAATGAACATAAATTTCAAGAAAACAAATGAATGAATGGATGACAAACTGGTCATGTTTTGATGCCATGTTTTCGTATTATTTGCAGTTTGTTTATGTAGGTTTAATTAAGAGGTGTATCAATTTGTATGAAGTGTCTATAAGCTTTACACAAGATGGAATATCTCTTTATCACACACTGAAACATGATACAACATCAATATATATGTATATCTACATAAATACATTATATCAGCTGATTTTGGGATGCATGAGCAAAAAGTTTGAGAAATGTTGTTATAGAAGTAATTTTCAATAATAAAAAGGTTTTGTACAGTAAATATTTATATTCTGAAACTAATACTAGTAAAATTAAATATAAAGGAAGGCATCACATTAATATAAGAATTTAGTTTATTTTGCAATTTTGTCATAACTAAATGCATTATTTTGTTGATGATGGAGAAATTGATGAGATGTCATACCAAAATGCTTTTCTTAACTGTAAAACAAAAAATAATAATAAAATAAACTCAGTAAAATTTAATATTTCAGAATTAATTTTTAAAAATGATACATTACAGAGTTTGCTGGGGATCATATATAGGAATGGGAAGTTTTCCAATTTCTGTTGAGCATTCTTCAAATAATTTCTCATAATCTTGATGACTTCTTATCATCACCATTAGACAACCTCTATTTACACCCATAGCATTTCCTAAATCCTACAATAAAATTTATTTTATAAGTAATAAATACAAAGAATATTCCCAAATAATCTGGCAAATTTTTATCTGGCTATTTTAAGTCTAATTAATAATTATAAAGAAGTAAATTTAATTTCAATTTAATTTAGAATATTCTAAAAGAAAAGAACTGGCCCAAAGTGGGACTCGAATCTGCACCTCTGTGTACAATGTTATGCTACTGGTTATGCTACCTGGACCGCCATCTGACTTTTGCTTCCAGAGTCATTAATTAATTTAGATATAACATACTAGTTAGTAATGACATCGACTGGGGATGACTTATTATCTACAACCCTGAATGCTCTCAGCCAACTACACTTTAAACCCAGAATGGTATAAAAACAATAGCATCCAAAATTCAATTTATTAGCATAACCAAATAATCTTTTGGTTATTCTAATAAATCAAGTTATGGATATTATCATATAGACAAAGAATATTAATGCTACCAAACTATTATGTAGTAAACAATACAAAGAAAACTTCAACATAACAAATATAGTTTGTTGAATTATAACTTACCCATAAAATGTATGTTTTGCAAGTTCAAAACACAGAACTTACAAAACATAAACTATAAAATATAACATATGTATTGTGAATTATAAAATTAATAAAGTGCTGGAAATGTGAAATTGTCTACTTCATATGCTAACATTTTCATATGTATTTAATGTCCATTCTCAAGCAACCATAAATTTAATCACGCAGAACAAAAATATCTAATTTTATTCTATGTAATAAAGTTTATGGTTGCTTGAGGATGGGCATTAAATATATCTAAAAATGTTAGCATATTAAGTTAATATATTGCTGGAGAAGGTATGAGATTGTTTACTTTAATAGAATTCAGTTAGAAATCAACGTGTTTTGAAATATATTTTATTAGTCAACTGATCGTCTTCACTTTTTCCATAAATTTGTTTTAAAGCAGCAGTTATAATGTATAAATAAATTAATAATGACTAAGATCTTGCTTTGTGTCAAAGATGCAAAGCAAGATGACAATTTAAAATGGCGCAAACTGAAATATTGATAACAAGTTCCAAAACTAAAGAATATTTTTAAAAAATGTAGTTTATTCTAGAAAAAGTTATTTCTCAATTTATTTTGACACATTTTAATAGGGATTTTATTGTTAATTAGGAGGCGAAAATCTATTGTTGCAAGACTTTTCCTATTATAATCGAAAATAAAATAAATAAACAAACAAACATACATTATTTTTTAGCATATTAACATAACTACATCATTGAAAAATTTGATTATTTTAAATCTTTACCTAAGAAGAAATTACAAATCAGTTTCTCAAAAGTACTGAAAAACGTTTTTTAAATCTTCAATTTGATATGCATTTCTATTCTTTTTCTTATAGCAAATGATAGCATGCTATCTTGACTGGGCTATTTTTAAACTACTTTCTCTGTTGAAATCATCAGTTGTAAAAATGTCAATTCATATGAGATAAGAAATTCAAGTATGTCATTCTTATAAAATCCTTCCAAGCCAGACTGTAGGTTAGTTAGTATTTCTTGTTGAATCATAAACAATTCATAAACTTTTAAATTAGCACACATTCTGATAATATTTTGCATCACATTTCATTTATACAGATAGATTTCATCTCCTTCACAGCATGAAATATTTTCTATAGCTAAGTTTAAAACTGAGTCTCCAGAGTAGAAAACTGGTGTGTATATTCTCCCTGTTAAAATTCATCTCTCTCAAATGACTCACTACAGAGAACCACTGAATAATTTTTATAAATTATTGTTGTTGCCAATATATGAATTTTACAATAAATATTCAATGAAAACAAGAAAAAAAATAAGCAACATTCTGTTTCCAATCTTGCTGTCATCTTTTTCTAAATACACATACAATCTTAAACTATACCTTTTCATGGCTTTGTACAGAGTGTCTCACTTAAAATCAGTCCAGTTGAGATGAAAAAACAATAGTGATGTTAATTTTATAGCAAGTATTAAAAGGAAATGTGACAAATCTCAGGACTATATGTGAATTCAAAGAGAGAATTTGCAGAAACTTGAAGCAATCAACATGAGTATATTATATAAAGTTAATCTGAACTTGAAAATACATCCACAAAGGCATATAGATGCACAACAACACCAAATTTCAATGTAATCTAAGTTTTTGTACATTTAAATAATGTTAAAATAACAAGTGTAACAAGTGTCCTTAACCAAAATTCATTTGTTTCTAGTGAATGGGTCTGATTTTACATGGAGCAACCTGTATGATGTCATTAAAAGATTAGAAATTTTTTTTATTAATATAGAATTAAAGATTAAAAGATTATAGCAAATATGAAATACTATGTCAATCTATTGTCTATTAAATCATATTGATATACTTACAGCACGACTTGGAGTGTAAATATAAGGCAAATTCTTTTCTTCACATACAGCAGGTAAATGGCACATCATATCAACTGGTGTTACGTCTCCAGCAAACACCACTATTCTACATGTAATACAAAATTTAAGAATTATTAAATAAATTGAAATTATGTTTTGTATATTAAAAAGTTTTAATTCACATTATCAAACCTATTAATAAAATGACAGGTCTACTTAGTTTTAGCAAAGTATATATTCATTCTTGAATAGTCAATATAAGAAGTATTTTAAAATAGAAAATATTCTTATAATTCATTTTTTTTGGACTTAATAATCTGATGCAAATGAAACTCTATTCTGATACTTTGCAGTTTGCAATTCTGATGGTCCAACATGTTTTTAATCTGATGCTTTTTGTTTGCAGAAGAGCAAGAGAATGACAATGATCAGTTTATATTTGTAAGTGCAGAGTTTGGTTATCATTTTAAAAACTTAGTACTCTTTCATTTAAGGCTTTAACGCAGTAATTATCAAAAGTACTCTAGAAACTGCATTATAAATAAAAAAGTATTCTAAAAATATATGTGTAAGGCTGTTATGGTGCTTTTGAATCTATCATTCAGTACCTCCCTATAGAGATTTCCCAAAGAAAGCTTCAAAAATGAACACCATTGCAAGAGGAATGGGGGATCATCCAAAAAGCAGATATGATGTAAGCTGTAGTTATCATCTCTAAAGAATTTAAAACTATAAACTATTACAAATATTTCTGAAATAAATCATAATATTAAACTTTAGATTAATTTTCCAACATTTGTAACTGTCTTCAAATTATGGATAGAACAATAAAGTTCTAGCATTCATAAATGTCTTTAGTCCTTTCTGTGTCTTCTCCAACCGTTGTCTCTCCTCATCTCCCTCGTCTCCTCCGCAACCCCTCATTTATTTTCTTACCAGTTTAGGAAGTTTACTCCTCTAACAGCATTATATATATATATTATATATATATTTTATTATTATTAATATTATGCTGCAAATGTCATGCTCAGCTGATACAGGTGCCAAGTGCTATGCCAGACTAAAGTCAAAGCATATAAGATAATCATTTAAATTAAATAATTAAAATTTAATAAGAGATGGAACCTAATGCCTACCTCTAGTGAAGTATTTAATAATTATTAGTAGTAATTATGTAGCCTGATTTAATCTGGTAATTATTTAGTTTTTTAAAATTATCTAAATATATAAAATTACTTGTCCTGACTGACTGATTGATTCATCATCGCCCAGAGCAAACCGCTGAATCTAAAGAGGTGAAATTTGGTACACAGTTAGGGTACATCATGAAAACACACACTAAGAAGGATTTTTGGAAATTCCCCTGCGGGGGAAGAGGGAGAGCATTAAGGCCACATTTCTTTATGCAGCGTTTGAGAAGCACTTTACAGCAAACTCTCTGAAACCCGTTTCTAAATGGCCAATGCTGCTCGTGGTGTCATTTCGCTACACTCTCACTGCATAAAAAAAAAAAACGCAACCTATGGCTTAACCTGAAGAACGGCTTCTACTGTACTATTTTAGATGCAATTTTTGTTTTCAACTATGTTTAGTCTTCATTGAGTACTTAGGTGTATTAAATTGATAACATTTCAGACATTGTTATAAATATTTTTATACATTTCAATTTTTTAACAAAACGTTCAAACTTTTAAATTCAAATTTGTTATTGCATATTGGTTTGATTATAGAACAATTGTAAACATTCCAGAAAATTGATCAAATTAAAAACAGTTTGTTTGATTCTCAGCGGTAGGTGTTATATAACAATTACTACAGCTGTTGAAATAGTGAATATAAATGGGGTTTGCTTGCAAAATCTGTGTGGGCGAAGTCACAGGTAACAGCTAGTACTGTATAAAATGAAAATTATACTTTCATTGTATTGCAGAGTCTTTCATTATAAAAGAAATATAATTATAATTGAATGAATAGCTGAAGAGTTGGCAAATAAAGAAAAATGAAAGTTTAAAAGAGAATTTTATATTTGAACAGACAAATAACAGATTTTTCAGGTTATAGAAAAGGAAGTTGATTAACAAATTACTAAATTATAGTGTAAGAAATTACTTACCCTCTTTCTCCTTTCCTTATTCTACTCTGAACATCCCTTAAACCATTTCGTAAATNTTATTATTATGTTGCAAATGTCATGCTCATCTGATACTGGTGCCAAGTGCTATGCCAGACTAAAGTCAAAGCATATAAGATAATCATTTAAATTAAATAATTAAAATTTAATAAGAGATGGAACCTAATGCCTACCTCTAGTGAAGTATTTAATAATTATTAGTAGTAATTATGTAGCCTGATTTAATCTGGTAATTATTTAGTTTTTTAAAATTATCTAAATATATAAAATTACTTGTCCTGACTGACTGATTGATTCATCATCGCCCAGAGCAAACCGCTGAATCTAAAGAGGTGAAATTTGGTACACAGTTAGGGTACATCATGAAAACACACACTAAGAAGGATTTTTGGAAATTCCCCTGCGGGGGAAGAGGGAGAGCATTAAGGCCACATTTCTTTATGCAGCGTTTGAGAAGCACTTTACAGCAAACTCTCTGAAACCCGTTTCTAAATGGCCAATGCTGCTCGTGGTGTCATTTCGCTACACTCTCACTGCATAAAAAAAAAAAACGCAACCTATGGCTTAACCTGAAGAACGGCTTCTACTGTACTATTTTAGATGCAATTTTTGTTTTCAACTATGTTTAGTCTTCATTGAGTACTTAGGTGTATTAAATTGATAACATTTCAGACATTGTTATAAATATTTTTATACATTTCAATTTTTTAACAAAACGTTCAAACTTTTAAATTCAAATTTGTTATTGCATATTGGTTTGATTATAGAACAATTGTAAACATTCCAGAAAATTGATCAAATTAAAAACAGTTTGTTTGATTCTCAGCGGTAGGTGTTATATAACAATTACTACAGCTGTTGAAATAGTGAATATAAATGGGGTTTGCTTGCAAAATCTGTGTGGGCGAAGTCACAGGTAACAGCTAGTACTGTATAAAATGAAAATTATACTTTCATTGTATTGCAGAGTCTTTCATTATAAAAGAAATATAATTATAATTGAATGAATAGCTGAAGAGTTGGCAAATAAAGAAAAATGAAAGTTTAAAAGAGAATTTTATATTTGAACAGACAAATAACAGATTTTTCAGGTTATAGAAAAGGAAGTTGATTAACAAATTACTAAATTATAGTGTAAGAAATTACTTACCCTCTTTCTCCTTTCCTTATTCTACTCTGAACATCCCTTAAACCATTTCGTAAATATGTCTTATACTTTGTAGCTAAACAAATAAACAAACAATGAACATAGTTATAAAAGTATTAACTAAAATTATAAGAATTAAACACGAAAGAGTAAATACAATGTATAAGGAGAAAAGAAAGAATAAAAAAATATATACAGTTGATTCCGTTTAATTGGGCCACTGGTTAATCAGGGCATCCACTTTATTGGGCTAAATCTCAAAGATCAGAAATTAAACTTATAAATTAATATATAATTTAATTGCTTAATTGGGTCAGTAGCAGAAAAGGAATTTAACAATTTTTGATATATTTTAGTAATCTTCTGAAAATATGTGGGCACTATGTACACTAATGATNACAAGGTACATGTAAATGATTCCAATTGTGGTCTAATTGCATGCCTGAGAGTGCCACCAAATATCTTAAAATTACAGTGGTACCTCAGGATACGACTGGTTAATCAGGGCATCCACTTTATTGGGCTAAATCTCAAAGATCAGAAATTAAACTTATAAATTAATATATAATTTAATTGCTTAATTGGGTCAGTAGCAGAAAAGGAATTTAACAATTTTTGATATATTTTAGTAATCTTCTGAAAATATGTGGGCACTATGTACACTAATGATGTGTAAGCCAAATGGTTGGCAGAGACAAAGTGATTTTGTCTTTTGCTCAGGCAGTTTGGTTTTTCCAGTGGGAGTCACCATAGCAAAATATATCACACGGGGTTTTCATCTGAGGCCGACCTGAATGCAAGTTACTGACCCTGCTCTGGATTAGACAGGATGATCCCCTTAAAAGTGAAGGAACAAAGATTGCCAGACAATTTTTCAAGGTGTCTCAAGTGAGTTGGAAGACAGCTAGACTTTCCTTAGGTATTGTGTGCATAATTACGTCTAGATTCAGACAGCAACCATCCAATTGTTGAGATCAGCATCAAGCTGGCGGATTCTATGGACACTCCCGCCAAAGCGGCCAATCTCCAAGTAAAGGAAACTGTGCTCAAAGGAATACCATAAAATAATGTTTGAACAAACCCTTTTTACTTAGAACATGTTCTAACTAAAAACAAAGAAAGGAAAAATTGTTTGACCAGGAACAGATCGAATGGTCAACCTTGTTTACATCACTACTAATATTTGGCAACACTAGCATTATGCAAATCAGTGAGTCTATTGTCGTGAGTCTGACAAATTTATAGAACAAATATTTTCTGTATTTTGATTTAATAAAGCATTAAAATAGGTACCTAATTATTAATTTTTATCTACTTATTTATTTACCTAACCTATTACATATTTTATTATAAAATTTATTATTAGTTCGTTTAATTGGGGCAGCTGCTTAATTGGGCCAAAATGGATTAGTCCCAATGTGTCCCAATTAAGCAGAATTGACTATATATATTTTTATGATACATACATTACATCTCAACATTTACAATTTAACTGATTCCTCAGAAACCATCTTAAGCTAACTCATATTTATTATAGACTGTGCAAAAATTACAGTTGTATTCTTATTTGAACTATATATTATTATACAATCTTGTAAATTAGCAAATGGAAGTATATAGTGTATAAGGCATTTTATATAATTATAACAGAAAATTTTTCTAGTTGTAAAGAGAGAGCTGTAAAACAAATGGCAGTAAAATATAGATATACAGTAATACCTTGACTTATGCTACCCTAACTTACGCGAACCTGGAGTTATGCGATTTTCAAATCTCGCTGATTCATCTTTTGTTTGTGTGCCACGCAATTCTTGATTACTCACTCCTCCCACACTATTGTTCAGCTTACATGTTCAGATGTGTCGCATAGAATTGACGCTTAGCTACAATTTATTTTGTGTTTTTATTTCTGTGTTTGTTATATCTATGGAGACTTGAGAGACTCTATTATGTCATTCAAACAAAGCAGAACTGATTCTTCTGCATCAAACAAGAAAAGAAAAACTTTATCTTTGGAATGTAAAGTTAACATTATTAAAGATTTTCATACAAAAATGAAAATTTGTGAATTAGCAAAGAAGTTTGATGGTCAGAACAATTATAAAAGGTAAAGAAAAAATTCTCGAAGCTGTGAAAGATGCTCAATCTTTAAATTAAGCATCATTCGTAAATGTCACAGTATTATCTCTGAGATGGAAACAATGTTAAAATTATGATGTGATAATCAAGTAAATGTGAAAAATTGTCTTGTTGATCAGAACACGGTGTGCTTTCAAGCTAAGCTGGTTTTTGAGAGATTGAAAGATGCTGGAGAGGTGGCTAAAGATGAAGAGTTTAAAGATAGTAATGGTTGGTTCAGCCGATTCAAAAGTCGCTGCAATTGGCATAGAATTGCAGAAGGTGGAGAGGCGGCAAGTGCTGATAAAGAGGCTGTGTCTTACTATCCAGAGAAATTCAAAGTTATGATAGATGAAGGTGGCTATACCAGCCAAACCATATTCAACATAGATAAGACTGGTCTGTTCTGGAAGAAGATGCCTAAAAGAACTTTTATCACACGTGAAGAGAAAACCTTTCCAGATTTTATGGCCGCCAAAGATCGATTGACAGTGATGGTTGGAACGAATGTAGCTGGTGATTGAAGTTAAAACCTCTCTTAGTTTATCACTCAGAAAATCCAAGAGCATTGAAAAATAAATCGAAAGCTGGCTTGCCTGTGATTTGGAAGTCGAATTGTAAAGCTTGGGTGGCAGCTTCTCTTTTTCAAGACTGGTTTGGTCATCACTTCATACCTGAAGTCGAACATTATTGCTAATCTAAACAAATTCCATTTAAAGTGATGCTAATAATTGACAACACACCAGGTCATCCCCCTGCAACTTTAACTAATTTTGACCCATGTGTGAAAGTTGTATTTTTGCAACCAAATGCAACCAGCTTGTTTCAACCGATGGATCAGGGAGTCATCAAAACATTCAAAGCTTATTACACAAGATGATCGTTTACACATCTGCATGAAGCTATAAGACAAAACAACGAGCTCTCTGTTAAAGACTTTTGGAAGCATTTTTTTCTAAATTATTGATTTCTTTAGTCTCCGGCCCTAATTAAAAATAATTTGTATGTATTTATATGCAAAATTATATCCCGACTTATGCGAATTTGACTTATGTGGTTATCGCTCGGTCCCACCTATCACGTAAGTTCAGGGTACTGTACTATATATATACAGTAGTATGTTTCAATAGTTATCAATGTAAAATATTACATTGCATTATTTACAAAGCCAATCATAAAATTATATATATATATTTCAAAGTTATTTACTTGATAAATAATTTAACATATCAATGTAAAATACATTCATTGACAAAAAAGTTATAAATCCAAGTAGAATTGTCTGATTACTGCAAAACAAGGTACATGTAAATGATTCCAATTGTGGTCTAATTGCATGCCTGAGAGTGCCACCAAATATCTTAAAATTACAGTGGTACCTCAGGATACGAAATTAATCCATTCCGAAACTGAGATCGTATCATGAAAATGTCGTAAGGTGGATCATCTTTTCCCATACGATTACATGTAAAATCAAATAATTCGTTCCAACGCGAAAAACATACTCAAATTAAAGCCAAGTAATACATTAAAAAAATAACTGTAGTAAGAAAAACAAATGAAAAATGCGAACTAATGTAACGTCGTATGGTGAGTTTTTGTTCGTATCGTGGAGCAAAAATATGTTCGAATTTCATGTCGTATCCTGAAAATTTCGTATGCTGGGGCGTTCGTAACCTGAGGTACCACTGTACTATTTTATACTATATTATCTTTGTATCTTATAAAAAACTGCATGTCAGAATTTTCAGTGTACTTATTTGTTTGACAGTCTTTTAACAATCAGATGCCAATATGACAGAATCAAAAGACATTATACACAGTTAACAGAGTTTGGGAAAGTGTGCATCATGAAGCCAAGGGAAGCAAAATGGTTATTCTAACATAACTGTGAACAGGTGTTGGAGGCAACAGATTACATATTTGGAAGCCAAGATCTGGACTCCAACACAGACCACCAGCAGAGATCATCTGATCATGAGACAAGCACAAATAGCTACATCATCTTTGTCCAGTATCCAGAAATGAGTGGAAGTTGGACTGACTAGGATTCGTTTCCAAAGACAATACACTGTTTTGTTTGTTAATTGGATGACAATTACCAAACAAAACAGTGTTTTATCTTTAGATGTATTGTGTTATAGTGTAGAAAAGAAATTTTCTGTTTCTTTAAGAATTACAAAAAATTTCTTTTATTAAATTCAAATAGGAATGGTACAGGGTTAATGTTTATTGTACATTTCTGTTAAATCTACACCTAGAATTTTATGATGTAATACTACTAAAATTCTGCACTGTGATATTCACGTCTCAAAATACCAAAAAATGTTATTATTAAACACACGTCATTTGATAATCAGATATATATTAACGTATATTTAAAAAAAACTGAACTTTTACTAGAATATTGCAACATAAACGCACTTTATTTAACTTTAAATTCACCTAATAATCATAAAATTAATTAAACCAGATAAAATACCTTTTCTGACCAATTTGAATAGTTTTTTGGCAAGTTTTCTCGATGCCATGGGTTTAGCAATTACACTAACAAACTTTAATTTGTCTTGGTAAGTCGATTCCTTGTTTTCACTAACAGTTTCATCGGCATCTGTTTCATCTAACTTTATCTTCTTTTCTGGTACATCAACGTTTCCATCTTCTAATTCTTCTTGCTTTCTTTTTTTCTTTTCTTTACCCATTTTTTAATTGACTGAAACAACACTCTTGCACGTGGTCAGACGAAATAAACACATTAAACACGTTTTCTTATTGTTGCGCACCCTGGCGTTTGAAAATAATTACCGTATTTTTAAGATATTTTTTATTTTATATAAAATATTAAATAATATTCAAAATACATATTCCGGATATTCTGCGTTAAGATATTACAATTAAAAAAACTAACTAACACAGCGAATACTTAAGCGTTTATTTTATTATCCGCAATGCCCTGCCCGACCGCGTTTAAATCTAGCAGTAAATAAAAGACTAAACTCGCCGTTACTTGTATCCATTGTTATTCTGATCGAATAACTCGTAAAAACATTTAGGAAAATTAAAAGTTAAGGGTTAAAGTTGGCATTTCAACATTAAACGTGTTGCCGAGCTTTATAAAATTTCTGATAGAGCGCTACCCCGCTCTATGATGATAAATATATTTAATATAATATACAGGTGTAACTCAATCTACCTGGTTGAATCATGCATACAGCGGGTTTGCCATTCTTCTTCTGTATTCTTTGAACAAGCCTGGTAAGAATGGGTCTCCCCACGGTTAACACTATAATTTAATAGCGAGGTTACGGCCGAAGTTTTCATCTCTAAAACGTGAACGCCGAACGTCGAGAGCCGCTTACAACGTTTGACGTTTAAGTTTCAGAGATGAAAACTTCGACCGCAACCTCGCTAATATTATTAGGAAAATTCTTCAATAGGTATATTAAATGATATACAAATATTGTGTAAAATGGCGCATGAAATTATTATTTTTCCTGATCTTTCCGGAACATATTGCAATCCTCCAGCTGACTTCAAGTCAAGGCATTGAAATCTAATAATTAAAAATAATAATTTCAATACAGTTGTCCCTTGATAATCCGACAGGTATGGGACCAAAGGGGTGTTGGATTATTAAAAGTGTCCGGATTACCGAAAGTGATTACATATTTAGCATTGTTTTGCTAGCAGTAGCCTATAATATTCCCTACTCCAACTGTTCGAACAGAACTGCTCACGGAAAACACACGAAATGTGTGTCATCGTGTAAGAATTGGGTGGGGAGATTCACGTCGCGACATGCTTCTGTGCAAGCAAACACGTAACGGGGACGGGTACCTTGACGGGAGGTGCGTCGGACTACTGAGCATGTCGGATTACAAAACGTCGGACTATCAAGGAACAGCTGTATTCAATTTTGTACAACCAATAAATTGTTAGTGAGAAAAATGTGAAAATTTCTCATACCTCTGCTTTAAAACATGAAAACATCTTTCAATTATATTTCTGTCTTTTTTATGAGCTTTATTAAAATTGAATTCAGCTGCTGATGATGAGACAGCTGCTAGAGCCATGGCTTCATACAGGTGAAAGAAGAAATGGCTCTAGTGGATAAGCACTGTCCTGTAAATATAATTTAGATAATGCTACAGTATTTACTTTTTCGTATCAAATTAATAAGAAAATAATGTCGTTGGATTTTTATGTTTTAGTTTGGAATTATATGATTCAGAAATACTTCAAAAGACAATATGTCTGTTAAATATACGCCTACCAAGCAACCATAATACCCTTCCTTATTACTCCTTGAAAATTTTGCCGTAGAGTGGAAGTTCTTCATATAAAGGAATCATGTGTGAGCCCCAGTACAAATAATTAATACAACAAATTTCAAACAATTCCCATCGGCAACGTCTTATATTTTGTTTTCTCTTTATTAACCGACATGTACTGACTTACAGTGTATTTTAAACATAAATTCAGCTGTTAGGTCACGTGTATTCTAACCTAACCATCCTGCAAAATCGGTTCTCCTGATCATTCTCTGATACACACTGCAACAATATACGCCTGGAAAGTATGCTTTACAAACCAGGTTTACTTATTGTAGATAGATCCATAGATTCAATGAGTTTCAATCGAGGATTCGATTTTAGTCTTCAGGAAACATTCTTCTTTTCTCAACTCACCGATCAGATAAATATGCGAATATCTTCAAGACAACAATGGCATCTGCATTTATAACAAGTAAACAACAATCTGATTGTCTAATTGCATAAATGCAAAAATATTGTAATATTCAGATTACATTGATATAAATAATATAACTTCGACAGATGTATCTTACAATAGCAATTTCCTGTCTTAATATACTTTTGTTATTCACAATGATGGATATAGTGCACAATTTGTACACATCTTAACGGTGTAGTTTCTACATATCAGTCTCTTGCACTTATTGGCATGTTTTCTTTGTTTACTTTTGATGGAAAAATGCCCTTTCTCCCAATTATTAACTCCTATTTACCTCTCAGAAGGATTTTAACTTCGATATTCTGCTTCATAACACGACAAAGTTCAAAATTTAGTTTTCATCGTAAATATTTTCACAAACAAACGATAACTACGAGCAATTGTCTATTGTGACACGCAATTCTTAATCATATTTTGAAATTATTTAATCCAAAATATCTCAAGCTAGTAGTGGCTCGCCCCTGTACATCACACTTTTCCGTTAACAATAGTCATCTGTTAACTGACGTTTTGAATTGAAAAAAAACAAGACTTTCGGTTTGAATCGGAAGATCATATATAGTTAATTGGGGCCTCCTGTCTCTAAAGTTTCCACATCTGGTCTCGGATTTCATATAATTCCGTTCTCGAGGTTAAGACACGTGGACGGACGACAATGACAAAATTTGGAAATAAATGTAGCATTCCTCCCAAAGAAAAATTGTCGCGTTGATAGTCAGGAAATAAAATATCATGACATGAGAGGTACGAGCGAAAGTTTCAAAGTTGCGGACGTGTCAAATTGATTAAGCGATCACATTAAGAATTTAGGGGAGAGATCCTTTAAAAAGTCAGAAATTCAAGGAGAAAGAATGGTCGTTTTCCCCTAGCTCAGTCTGTGTCGATTTCCCGTTGTCTCGGGCTTAATTTTCGTTCGGCCGTATTATAAAGGTTTTTCGGTATTTTTAATATTAACTTTATCCAGTTTGATGTTACATTAATAGGCGAAACCCGCGGCGACCGAGGTATCCTAAGAATTTGATTTATTTCATGCGAAGGTCGAAAATGGACGAAAAAGATATTTATTCGAACGAATTTCGGAGATGGTCAAGCCTCGAGACGTAGAATTTAAAAAGATCGTCTTTTACTTCTCCACAGTCAACATTCTGCGCCATGTAAATGCAGAAAGTAATTTATTTATCAAATTTAAAAAAGAAAAATAATTATAAATTAATTCGAACGAATTTCGGAGATGGTCAAGCCTCGAGACGTAGAATTTAAAAAGATCGTCTTTTACCTCTCCACGGTCGACATTCCGCACCATGTAAATGCACAAGATAATTTATTTATCAAATTTAAAAAAGAAAAATAATTATAAATTAATTAATTAAAAAAAATCCGAACTTTTACGAAATTCGAACATTGTTGACGCGTTTTTCAACGTTTGTTCGAAATGCGTCACACATGACGAATCGAGGTTCGATTGTGTTTCTCGTTGTGATAGGACGTACTTTTTTTCGCTCTTCGGTTGCGTGCTGTTTTTTGCGGTTTAAAGACTTTTACAGAGAAGATTGAAGATTTTTTAGGTAAGTCTTAGTCTGTATTGACCCTAGACATAAGAATTTATTTAATATTACTTGGAGAATCGGTCCCAGAAGACATCACGGCACATCGTTCGATGGTCGACCGTTTGCGCTTCGGATTCGAATCTTTTAGATTTAAAAAGGCGGCTGCTGTGAGCAGTTTGCTTTTAGGCTGCGTACACACTAGGCGTTTTGCGTTGCGTTAAACGCGCGTTAGCAGCATACACACCAGGCATTAGCTCGGCGTTAGAGGAGCGTTTAGTGGAGCATACGCACTGGCTCAGTTTGGAAATGGACGTGAAAGTAATTGCTTGTGTGTGCCTCCTGCATCGTCGCTATAAAAGACGACGGCAGAGGCAAAGAGAATTTTGGGTGCACCCAATATTACGAGATAGACTGACGTATGGAGTGTTTGCGACGTTGTATCCAAAACTAAGACAAAATAAATTCAAGTTTTTTAATTCTTTTAAAATATCTATAAAATCCTTTGACAATGGTTGGTCTCTTTTAGATTTCATCAATAAATAGATCAGTATCGAAATGATCGTTCTCCATTTCGGCCAACGTACGTCCACTCTACCCGAAAACGCGCGATCGAATGTACAGTAACATGGCAGCACATATATCTCGAAGCGCTCGGCTGACGCCTGCAAAACGCGCGTTTTAAGAAAAATCTATAAACGCGCGTTTGAGTGTGTACGCCTATGCAGAACTCTTGGTTCGTCAAACGCGCGTTTAAAATCGCCTAGTGTGTACGCAGCCTTATTCGGAAAAATTTAAGCATTAATATAAGCTTTTGTTTTCACTGGACTAATTGCAAATTTTCTTTTTTACAGGATGAAGACGTTGGTGCGTTGTTGGAGGCGGTTCCGGCGGAGGCAGGAGGTGGCGCCGGAGGGAGAGGAGTTCGGTGCCGCTGGAGGAGCGGGGGCTCGACGAATCGGAGGAGAGAGCCCCCGAAGTTGAGGGACCGTGCTGTCCGTGGTTTTGTTGCTGCGGACGGCTGCGGTTGCCTTGGCCTAGGCGGTGATCTTCTTCGACTTCCTCTTCTTCACCCGGATGCGACTTTCTTACCGGATTCGACACTTTTCACCCGGACATGACATCTTTTAACGGACGTGACCTCTTTTACCCGGACGTGACCCACGGACTTGACACGTTTCTTCACCGGACGCGACATTCGGCCGACCTTTCTTCCCAAACAGCTGTTATGAGGATTGAGCTTCCGGTTAGGGTTCGTTAGGTTAGCCTAGGCTAGGTCAGGTCCTTCGCTCTTCTCATAACACTGTTCGGGAAGAAAGGCTGTCTGATTAAGGTAATAATCTTGACCTTAGGTAATAAATGAATAAACTTCTCGTTTTCTCACTGCCTTTGTGTTTTGTAGGAACATTTGGGAGGGAGAAGAATCTCCCTCCCCAACTTTACCACGAAGAGGACCAAGTGGCCATTTACCGTACAAGTGAATATTTTCCGATGGTAAGAACTCTTTCGTTTCATTTCTTAACACATCTTATTCTCGTATCGTAATTTACTGTTTTCTGTTTATAGACATGCCGAAGATGTTCTTCGATCACACACATACACACATACGCACGTACATAACACCACTGTACACGAAGATATACACCGTTTAACCTTTACTCGAATTCTCGCACTCACGCACTTACACGTCAAGCGCCTCGTTCTGTGTAATTCGACACAATGAAACAACCCGAGCACACGCTTCCCACAAATCCAGCCCCTGGGTCTCGTCCCGGGAAGTGGAAACGCCAATTTTAAAGATTAAAAGACTTTAAATTGGCGGCCGAAGGGGCTCTGGTAATTACAATTTGCACTCATTAGACAGAATTTTAGGTATTCGCTGCAAGAATCGATTTGTGATGACAGCCGAATCTGAATTTTCGACACTTTGAAAACTATTAAGAAATTACGTATGTATGTAACAAAAATAAGAAATGGTTTGTTATCCCCTTCATTCCCATTGACATTCTCTGTTTTATGCTGACATTTTCTGTCAGCATAAAACAGCGATGAAACGTCAAAAGTTCGTTGCGAAATGTCCAGTCGATGATGGCAGTTCGAATGGCATTTCTTCCGAAAGCGGATAGATGTAACGAAGATACGACAGGATTGATAACGATTGCTTTTCGATTTGATAATCACGCGATTAGGAAATTGTTACGCGGTGTCAGAATGGACGAGTGGTTTAAGGCGCCAGACTTAAGATCTAGTCCTCGTATGAGGGTGTGGGTTCGAACCCCACCTCTGACAGGTTGTTTTGCTCGAGTGAACATTTATCGCGGTAATTTGAAAAATCTTCTGTACAATACTGTACTTGTCTTTTCTTATAACAGTTCTTCTTCGTAATTCGAAGTCTTGAACGGAATATTATTTTAACACTAATGGCCTGAATTTTCTTCTGACATTTAAAATATGTATGTGAGTACAGTACAGTACAGTACTGTACATTCGTTGCATTACACTGATTATTGAAGGCGTGTAAGATGAAATTTTACTCTTCTTTGTTTTTGATCTTTGAAGTTTCTTATGTTACTTTTGGGTCACATTGGACAATTTTCTCCAAGTTCTAATTCCATCTATAGTTTGTTATTTATCCTTTGCAATATACTACTATACAAAGTGTGTAATCAAAATCGATAAGGATTTCAAAAAGAACGGAATAATATATTTTATTTAACGAAGTCATAAGTATAGTGTATGCAAATTATAGTTATTAAGTTCAGCTTTTTGCTTTTGTGATATTTAAGATCATGTTTTGACTAAAAGATTTTTTTTTGTTTTAATATTTGATTTACAGACACTAATGGCCTACGAGATACTGTGAGGTATTGCTTATAAGAATAAAATTGCATGGAAACAAACGAATTTTATTCAAATTTATGCCAATTATACTAAATTGCGTTCAGTAACATGATGATAATTTAAAATATATTTTGATGTAAACATAGATGACGTCATCGTTTCTTTACATTATTGTTTATAACATCGAAGTTGACGGCAATTTCCTCTACAGCGATTTTGCTAAATTGTATCATAATAGGCCTACAGTAACATATAGGCTAAATGGACTATGTATATTCGTGCCGTCCTTATCCCGAACAGTTTGTGGATATCTATCCTTTCCAAATGTTCTATCACACGGTTTGGTAGTCACATACGACAAGGCCCTCTGTTCCATCTATAAGGAGATAGCCCGATGTAGGAAGCACAGAATTCTAAGGAGTGAGGAAATTGTTGGGTTTCAGAAGAATCCTACAATTTTCTCACTCCTTAGGAATTAAAAAGATGCCATCGAGAAAAAATAGTGCCCCGGCCGAAACAACTCGAAAGGTTAGAAGAGTACAAAGCCTTCGGGAAAAGGACGGTAGTTAACTTCGAGGAGACAGACTATTTCGTCAGGCTGGAGAGCGTATAAAAAGTTATAAGTGAAGGTTTCTTCTTTCAATTGTCACACTAGGAATATCTATCACGTCTTTCTTAATTATGGATAATTAACAGAGACCGAGATTAAAACAGTTCTGTTTATTTCACCTATTTAAGAATGCATTTCGGATTGGTCCCTATTCGCGCTTAGAAAACATACAATACACAAACTACATACTGGTTACATGTTTTATTCTTAGTTATTAAGTGATTTAATTTAAATACAAAGAATTTAGATATGGATTCAGTTTCGGTTCCGTAGTTCAGTTACAAAATATTTTGTTAAGTACATCAAATGTACGAAATTTCTGCCGGTGTTGTCATATTTACTTTAAAGAAAACATCAAAATACAGTAGAGCGTCGTTTATCCAAATCAATTGGGAACTGGGGTTGTTCGGATAACTTATTTTTCGGATAACCGATTATGTACGAAAAAATATAACAACCTATCCCGTGTTGAAATTTTTCTCCTTTGCGTTGAATTTTCGTAAATGTTAAGCCTAATGTAAACTTTTTAAAATAATAATCGTGGCTATTGTATCGTTAAAAATTATTTCTTTATTTTGTACAAACAAAATAAATATATTGAAAAATATAAAACAAAAAAAATTTATACTTTAGAAGTTATCTAGTATCAAAAACGTTCGATTCAGCACGACACAGTCCTCAGAAAAACACTACACGAAAGTGCCAGTGCTGCCAGCTAAAACACATACACCAACAAAAAAAAATATAGCCAAAGATTGCAGCGCCACAGCACTAGCGAAAATTTAAATTTGCCGACTGGAATTCTTTCGGTTAACCGGCTTTTGGATAAACGACACCCTACTGTAATTTAAGAAGAGATACTTTTTATATAAGTTGCGGATGAAATTATCTGAACTGCGGAGGACGCCGTATTACTTCCCTCGGAATCTATGGCTACGGCCGGACGGTTAGTCACCAAATGATTAGTGTTTACTTAATTTTGATCGGGGAATGATTTTTGATATAATAGTGTGCTCAAGTAGGGGACAGAATTGAAAAGGCACTAAGGCGCACAAATAGATTATTAGATTAGGAAACCAAAAATCCTTATATCTATATGAGCTATATACACATAAGTGTTATTTAAGCTGTAAATTTTAAAATAATTTGCATTCTATCCTCTATCAATCAACCCATACCCCAGGAGATATAAGAGATACAATACCAACATGTATAAATTAGTTCACCCGAATCCGCATATGTCATAGGCAGAAATGGCATAAAGAGAGGAGAAACAAAATCTTCCCGATGGACCAAGGCAGGAGGTTAGGGCCGAATGTGAAGAAAAACTGCCCTGTTCTATGAACATGGCCATTTTACAAAAATTTATAGGACTAATGATGTTTATCTTTGCAATTGTTTCTGGACCATTTCATAAGATGGTACCCAAAAGAATCATATTGGGGTTAGAAGAACCCGGATAGAAGTACCATCATATAGAAGCCACATACCAATTTCTATTTTTCCTAAGCCCAAGGATTATCCATTACTGAACCCAGAAAAATTAGAGGATCAAATAGTCATTAGACTTATTCAGTGTAATTAGTATATTTAGCTATATAGAAGCGACCTAGGGCAGTAAATTAGTTAGAAACTGTAAATTAAGATTGCAAATACTGTGAATCATAGCAGCAGAAACCTTTATCTCAACAATTTTATTTCTTAGAGTATAAAATTATGAATATTACATAATCTTTTTATTATTTAACAATATCTTCCTTGGGGCTAGAGAATAGAGGTAATGGGGACAAAGAGTAGTCCTCCTCTTGAGGGGACTCCGCATCGGTTGAAGATTCTTCGTCAGATGGTTCAGGAGATTCAATAGGTGAAAGGGGTGAAAGAGGATGCGGAGGTGGACCGACCCATATACACGGAGCTATAGGATCAATAATTGGCCGGGGAGCTCACCTCGCCTCAACCTGCTGAATATAGCCCACCCATTTCACCCATTCCTGTTATTTTGTAAATCTTACATAATATGCTGGGGGAGGTTGATATCCTTCTGGGATGACGGCCATAGTAAGTTTTGTAGGTTGATCCGATCTGACATATCTCTGAATACCTCGAATCATGGAATGATATGCATTAGAGGCACATCTATCGGAGATATAGGGGATAGAGGGTCCAGGTTCACCTACTTCCACGAGGTTACCGTTAGGTACCACCTGGTCCAGGATGCCTGTAGACCCCTGAAAAATATAATCGGTTGTAAATACAACACACTAATTTACAATTAAACAACACACTAAGTTTACATGAGACAAATCACGGAGTTAAGAGGAAGGAAGCCATTTTATCTCTAAATTTTATATTTAGTATCTAGTTCGCCTTTATCTGCTGATGCAAACAGATCAGCGGCATGGACGAAGTTCAGATGCTAGCCCAGCTGATCAAACATATTGGTACTTTATTCAGTGCCAATAATATTAGAAAATTCTCCCATAATAAAAGAGTAAAAGGTAATTGGATTGAGATATTCAGAACAAAGCATATTAAGAAGGTTCGAATGTATCCTCAACCCAGATGTCTTAGACAAGACGACCATCTCATAAATAGAGAGACTAGTATCGAAATGAAATCCATTGGATATAAACCTGTATAGGAAACTAAGACCCCAGGAATAATTCCTAACTGATGTACATTACTAACTGTGCTCAACACCGAAGACAAGGCCGCAAGTCACAAGCAGAACTTCAACTTTTTTCCCCTCTTTCTCACCTGTTCGAACGAACAGCAATGGACATTATTGGACCTTTTGCCAGTAACAACAAATGGAAACAAATACATCTTAGTATTTGTAGATCATTTTAGCAGATATGCTGAAGCAGTTTCTTTGCCGGTTGTTAGTAATAGAACGATTGCGAAAGCTTTTGTAACAACTATAATATTGCGACATTCTACCCCTCTCCAGCTATTGACAGACAGAGCACCGAATTTAATCTTCAAATTATTTACCGAAGTTTGTGATATTCTCAAAATAAAGAGACTACTTACCACTGCTTATCATCCAGCTACCTTGTCTTAAGATGTTGAAGATAATTTTGCGACAGAATTAAGACTAAGACTGAAGGAGACACACCAAACTGCTCAGGAATATTCGGAACTGGCTGCAAAATCTAGACAGGAAAAACAAAGGAAACAGAACAAACCACCTCATTATCAAGTAGGGGACAGTGTGTTACTAAAGGAAGTAGTAGTTCCAAGAGGAATAAAAAGGAAGTTAGCTGCCCGGTGGCCAGGACCTTATAGAATTATTGCCATTTTAAGCCCTGTAAATTATGAAATAGAAAATATCAAATCCAAAAGAAAAGTACATGTACATGCAAATCGAATAAAGCCCTCAGTAGCTGGAGAGGAGGTCAAGTTACCTATAGATCAATCAGAACTTACCCTACCGAATGAAATTATGTAGAACATCCTAAATTCTTATTAAATGTTGCGTTATCGAGTATATTTGCAGGATGTTGAAGATTGTAACCTTTTTAAGAAATATTGATAAAATTAAGTAAACTTTAAATTAAACAAAAAAAAATTAAGTTAAATTATTTGGTTAGGTTTTATTAAGTTTATTTAGGGTTGATTTAGAGTGAAACTTATGAAATTGACATTAGTAGTCCATCCAGATTGTCACACCACTTCCTTCCTTTCAAAAATCACACCGTCCATAGATAGGTGAGATTTTTCTTGACTGAAACTCTCTCTCTCGGTTTAGATTAATGTAGACCATAGAATAGTGATAGGAGAAACTCCCTGTTTCCTCCTTATTCTCAGCATTCCGTGGTATCATTATTTCCTTTGT